GACTGGAAACCAATCTAATTGGAACAAATAAATCTGCCCTCAAACCTCCATCCCTAAACCACAACACTCATACATCCTTTTTAACCCTGGCCTTTTCTTTCTATATAGTATGGTCCCTGAGCCACTTGTATTAGAATCCCTTGGGCCAATTGTTAAAAATACAGATTCCTGAACCCCCACCAGAGGTTCTAAGTTCCACTTTCAGGGACTGAGGCTCATGAATTTGTATTTTAAACAACTTCTCCAAGTAATTCACAGTAGAAGCTACTTTAATTAAGAATGGCTGTCCTGCCCTGGCTGGTTTGGCTCAGTGGATAGAGCATTGGCCTGCGGACCGAAGGGTCCCAGGTTCGATTTAGGTCAAGGGCATGTACCTTGGTTATGGGCACATCCCCAGTAGGGGGTTTGCGGAAGGCAGCTGATCAATGTTTCTCACTCATCAATGTTTCTAACTCTCTATTCCCCTCCTTTCCTCTCTGTAAAAAAATCAATAAAATATACTTAAAAAAAAAGAATGGCTGTCCCAAACCAGTGGTTTCCAGCTTTTTGGATCATGCACCCTTCTCAGAAAGAATTTTTTAAGAATGTTCCTTTAGTATATGCTGGTAGTTGATTAATAAATTCCTTATATGTACTGATGTCCTAATATTTGTGTTCTTAAATGCAAAAATATACATTAATATTCTTATATGAGAATGGTCTCTAGTTTTCCTTTATGTATCTTCTAGTTTTGGGGTTTTGGTATTGACACTGTGCAAGATTCTTTTCTTATCCCTCTATTCTCTAGATTCCAGAGTCTATGAAACATAAATAGCATTGGGGTTGTCTGTTTCTTGAAGGTTAGAATTAACACAAGACCATGTGAGTGTGCTTTTTATTTTTGGTCAAATTTATCAATGTTTTTCTATAGTAACTGGTGGGTTTAGGTATTCTCATTCTTCTCATTTTGTGCACTTGGGTTTTTAAATTAGATTTGCAAGTGGCTTATCTGTCTTATTTTAATTTTCTTTTAAAGAATTAGCTTTTAGCTTTAATTATTTGTACTATCATTTATTTTCTAGTATATTGATTGGTACCATTAGTTTTCTTTCTGCTTTCCTTAGGTCTATTTTTATGGTGGTTTTCTTAACTTCTTTTGCTGAATGCTTAATTCAGTTATTTTAATTTATTATTATGTATTGCTATAAGTATTTAAGGCTACAATTTCTCCTGCCTGCCTGATTGCCCCTGACCACTCTGCATGCCTGCCTGATCAACCCTAACCACTCTGTCTGCCTGCCTGGTTGCCCCTAACCACCTCTTCCTGCCTAATCGCCCCTACCACTCACCTGCCTGCCTGATCATCCCTAACCGCCTCTGCCTGCCTACCTGATTGCCCCTAACCACTCGCCTGCCTTCCTGATCGCCCCTAACCACCTCTGCCTCAGCCCCCTGCTGTGGCGACTTCATCCAGAAGGTCATCTGGAATGAAATCCAGAAGGTTGTTTGGTTGTCCGGTCTAATTAGCATATTATGCTTTCATTATTAAGATTTAGAATGTTGCTGTATTGTGATTAGATACTGTACTCTGTACTACTTCCACTTTTTAGCTTAAGATATTGTCAATTTAAAAAATGTTCAATGGGCCCTTAAAAAATTAGTCTGTTTTTAGTGTACAAATAAATTTAGATTTTTCCATTATCTTAGTTGTTGATTGTCATATCTGTCATCAGCTGAGTGTCATATTTTGTTTCTGCTTGTTTCTACCTTTATATTTCCTATAGATTTTGTTTAGAAATTTTTATTTTTTAGTTACAGATGGCATACAATATTATATTAGTTTCAGGTGTACAACATAGTGTTTAGAAACTTATATCACTTATGAAGTGATCACCCAGAAAAGTCTAGTACCCTCCTGGTACCATACATAGTTATTATAATATTATTGACTAATATTCCCTATACTGTACTTTACATCCCCTTGACTTGCTTTAGAAATTTTTTTTTTTACTGTAGAAATAAAAAAACTATTTAAATGAAATAAATTCAAATTTTTTTTGTGCTTTAGAAATTTTGATGCTCTGTTATTTGGTACATAAAGATTTGGAGTAGTTAGCTATTCATCATGTGTTCTAATCATTAATATTATAGTGCCCCTCTTTGCCTTGTTAGTTGATTTTTGCCTTTACTTCAACTTTTTAATATATTAGTATCATGGCCCTTGTTTTTTCCCATTTTGGCATTAATTCATGTATTAAACAAATATTTATTGAATGCCTATTGTGTGCCAGGCACTAGATATCAGATAAAGGAGACATACAAGATCCTTGTCAATGTGGATCTTACATTATAGTTAGAGGGTGGCACAAAATAAATAAGTAAAAATAGGTATGTGACATACCAGGTGGTGATGTATTCTCTGAGAAAGGACAAAATAAAAAAAGTAAGGCTAAGTCATTTTAGATAAGTGTTCAGGATAGTCCTCTCTGCCTGATGGCATTTGTCATCTTTTTACTTTCCATTCACCACCTTGGTTTTTTTGTTTGTTTCATGAGGGGAAAATGCCAGGTGGAACAGTTTGCACACAAGGGATTCTTTTAATCTAAAGGAGATCTAGGTAATAAAAAATGAAGAAAAAATAAAGGAGCTCTAGGTGGGCTAAGGCCTAAATGAGAAGAGAATAGGGAATGTGTGGATATGAATTTCTGATCCATATGAGTGATGAACTAGCCAGGATGGGGACTGGAGATGAGGGGACTGAAGGATATTTTGCTTTCCATTCTACCTGAGCTTGCCTACCATTATGAATATTATTAAAGAAATATTCTTGGTCTTCATTATGAGTATTGAAGGATATTCTGTCTGATGATTTTATTGAACTGCTGGAATTCCTGTCACTGGGCAATACTTAGAATGATGCAGATTACTTACAGGCTACAGCAGAAAACCAGATCTTTTGGTTTAGCAGATTTAACCCTTTATACTATAGAGCTAAATAGATGTCCTCTGACTTTGGTGACTTATTATATAGAAGTTTGACTTACAGGGCTCAGAGCTGGCAAGTGCAGTGGTGGTGGTGGGAGCCTCTCTCACCTTTGTGGCAGCGCTAAGGATGTCCGACTGCAGGGAGCGGGCCTAAGCTGTCAGTTGGACATCCCCTCAGGGCTCCCGGACTATAAGAGGGTGCAGGCCGGGCTGAGGGAGCCCCCGACCTCGGAGTGCATGAATTTTGTGCACTGGGCTTCTAGTATTTAAATAAACCTGAACTCATTTACCTTGGATATTTTTCCTATTGCTTATAATGTGAGCAATCTCATTTTTCTTCACAATAGTCTTTTTAATTTTGATACTACATACATAGGCATATAACATATATTAAAATTCTGTACATATATACCTGTAATTCTTGAATCTGGAACTTATTTTGATATATAATACATGGTATAGCTCCAAATAATACTGCTCTGCAGTTATCTCAAGAAAGATTTATTAAATGATCTTTAACTCATTGTTATGGAAGGTCAATTATATATGATATTTTGGACTTTCCAGTCTGTTCCTCTAATCAGTAACACACTGTTTTCACTATAATGTCTTTATAATATGCTTAATCCCTTACTCACCCCCCCCATTTTTTTTCTATAGCAAATACTCTTTAATATGATATCCTGCTTTATTTTACAAGCTATTAATAACTCTATTGTTAAAAATTCCTATTGAGAATTCTGACTGGGATTGCATTAGAGGAGATATTTTAAATACAAAATAGCAGATATTTGTAAATGTCATGCTTTATGTTTTTTCTTACAAGTATAATAACATGGACAGAAAGTATACATGTCAAATTCATGATATAGCTTGCATCTAGAGAGGCAATAGGTGAATGAAAATGGGGAGTAAGACAAGGGTATTTTTTCTTATTCTTTTTTTTTGTTTGTTAATCTGCACCATATTTTCTCATTGATTTTTAGAGTGGAAGGGAAGGGGAGAGACAGAGAGAGAGAAGCATCAATGTGAGAGTGACACATTGATTGGTTGACTCCCACACATGCCCTGGCCTGGGGCCAGGGATCGAGCCTGCAACTGAGGTACATGCCCTTGACCCTTCAGTCTGCGGGCTGATGCTCTATCCACTGAGCAAAACTGGCTAAGGTTTTTCTGATTTCTTAAAAATAAATTCATGAAGCATCCATGAATGGCACAATATTAAGATGTGTTTATTCTGAGCAGTAGGTGGGAACATGAATATTTATTTTAGCAATCTCTGTATGTTTGTAAATATTTGAATTTTTCATAATTAAAAACAAAACAAACAAGAGCAGCAGATGAAGGAAGATAACCAGACTTATAAGCCAAAGGATATAGTACATTCAATCCGAGTGCTACAAACAGACTGAGGTGGTGTGTGTATTCAGTCTTTGGAGATAGATTGTTCAGGTTCAAACTCTAGCTCTGCCACTTACTAGCTGTATGGCCCCAAGCAAGTTACTTCTCCTGCCCATGCCTCAGTTTCCCCAACTATAAAATCAGGACAATAATAACTTCCTATAGTTATTATGAGGATTAAATATGTTAAGACATGGAAAACACTTAAAGCAGTGCTTGGTATTTAGTACATACACAGTGTTAGCTATCCATAATATATATTATTATAATTATCACATTTATTACATTGATTACATTGTTTTGTGGCCATTTTAAATTTTACATAAATGATGTCATGAAAAATATGGGATCAACCGAACTGATGTGGCTCAGTGGTTTAGCGTCAACCCATGAACCAAGAGGTCCCTGGTTTGATTCCCCGTCAGGGCACATGCCTGGGTTTTGGGCTCAATTCCCAGTAGGAGATGTGCAGGAGGCAGCTGATCAATGTTTCTCTCTCATTGATATTTCCATCTCTCTATCCCTCTCCCTTCCTCGCTCTCTAAATAAAGAACTCAATAAAAACATATTTTTTTAAAATATGGCATCATCTGCAACCTGTTTGTTTTACACAATCCCCATCTGCTCTTTTGCAGGGAAATGGCTCATTCCAAGGCTGACTTTTCATGGGCAACCCCCTTCCATCCTTGCCTTGAGAACCCAGCATTGGACTTATCAAGCTACCGAGCAATCTCTTCTCTTGACCTCCTTGGAGATTTCAAGCACTCCTCGAAAAAAACAGAGGAAACTTCAGTTTATGAGGAGGAGAGCTCCATGGCCTCCATGCCCCACCCACTGCGCAGCCGTGCCTTCTCAGAGAGCCATATCAGCTTGGATCCCCAGAGCTCCCGGGCCTGGGGGCAGCCTAGGAGGGAGCTCTTTACCAAAGTTGATGAAACCCAGCTAGATCCTTTGGGAACCAGGAAGAAGGCCTTTCCTCCTCCCCGTCCTCCTCCTCCCAACTGGGAGAAGTATAGGCTCTTCCGTGCAGCCCAGCAGCAGCAACAGCAGCAGAAGCAGCAACAGCAGCAGCAAGAGGAAGAGGAGGAGGAGGAGGAGGAAGATGAAGAGGAGGAGGGGGTAGAAGAGGAGGAAGAAGAGGGGGAGAGAGGAGAGGAGGAGGAGTTGCCACCCCAGTATTTCAGTTCAGAAACCAGTGGTTCCTGTGCTCTCAATACTGAGGAAGTCCTGGAGCAGCCACAAACCCTGGGCTTTGGTCACCTGGAGGTCTCAAGGCAGGGTACACAAAGCCTCCCAGCAGAGCAAGAGTCTTTTACTCTCCATTCCAGTGATTACCTGCCTCCAATAAGGGGCCACTTGGGATCTCAACCTGAGAAGGCTCAGCCCCCTTGCTATTATGGCATTGGTGGGCTTTGGAGGACATCGGAGCAGGAGACCACTGATCCCTCCAAGTAAGTGCTTATGAAAGATATTAGGTCCCCGAAGAGACAGGCAGCATGAGTTTGAATTCCACCTCCACCATGTACCAGTTGCATGACCTTGGACTGTTCCCAGCCTCAGTTTCTCACTGGAAAATAGGCTTGATGATACCTATTCCATATGGTTGTTATGAATGTGAAGTTAATTTATCACGTAGTAGGTGCTCAGCAAATTGTAGTTGTTCATGTTCTTATCCCTAAATACCACTATCAAAATACATTTATTATTTCCCATTTTGTCTTTAAGGTATGCATTAGTTTCTGGCCCCTGAGACAGAAGGCATTAAACCCTTATTACCTGTACAAGGCTTTTCCTAGAAGCCTGGCTCCTGCCCTCTTCTACCTTGTCTTATGCTTGCTTTTCAGAACAAGAGGCCAGGTTGAAACCTGATTTGCCTTTGTTCTATGACCTACCTGGGCTTCTAAGCTCTTCCTAACATCCCAACATCAAAGGTGTTACTTGGGTTGCGTGCTTTATGCCCTGATCATTCTTTACAATAGCTAAGAACATTTTTTCCTCTTCCACTTTCACCTCTCTTTTTGCATTTTCTTCATCGAGTAATACGTGTTGTTGACAGGATGAGCTGCCTGGGCAGGAAGACAGGATGAGCTTCCTGGCCGCTGGACTGCCAGTGTCTGTTCCCTTCACTGTGCCAATGCTCATATGCATGCACTACAGTGTGTGGTTTTCCCCTTTGCTCCAAAGCAAAAGAGCTTTGGCTTTTAGCTCTGCCAGGCTTCCCACAGAGAGCTCAGCCCACTCTCTTCTGGGAGTGAAGATGGGGGGCAGGTGTCTTTCCTCTAAGTGCTTTATTAAATCCCTTTACAGAAGGAACCTGCCTGAGCCTTGTTACTATTAGAAGTATCTTATTATCATGTCTTTTACTGACAGGCAGATCCATTACTTGGCTATCTGGAGCTAATCAAGGTTTTCTAGCCCGAAGTGCCACAAGCATAGCACTTATAGGGCCTGGCTCCCAGACACTGAGCGAATCTCTTATTAGATCCCTAGTGGCTGTTTCTCAAGCTGTCCATCTAGCTGGGGAGCATTCTTATTATAATCGGAAAACATTTTGTGGAAAATGACTGTGATTGTTACCTATCAAAGTGAAGAGAAGGTGACCTACCACTTAATATTCACAAGAAAGAATAAATAAATGAACAAATGAACATTTTCTATGTGCCAGACATTGCTAGTCATTTTATATTCATCATTTCACTTAAACCTCCCAACAGCCCTAAGCACCATTATTATTCCCATTTGACAGATGAGAAAACTAAAGCTGAGCAAAATAAAGGACTAAATAAGTCAGAATTGTGCAGCAAAAATTCAAAACCAGATTTGTCTGCCTCCCAAATCCATGCTTATTTCGCTATTCTGGTCTCAGATAGATTTTGTTCTTTTGGTAGACCAGGCCTTTACGAGGCCCTCCTGTCTTCTGTAGGGCAGTGTGTACCGGAGGTAGTAGTTACAGTACCTCTGTCAGTCTGCTAGTTCTTCTTCGTTTATGTACTTCCATTCACGTTGGCACCTTGGACAGAAAGAAGGAAATGGCTATTATTAGAGATTTTTGTAACATGTTCCAGAGATCTTTTTATTTTTTTATTTATTTTTTAATATATTTTATTGATTTTTTACAGAGAGGAAGGGAGAGAGATAGAGAGTCAGAAACATCGATGAGAGAGAAACATCGACCAGCTGCCTCCTGCACATCTCCTACTGGAGATGTGCCCGCAACCCGGGTACATGCCCTTGACCGGAATCGAACCCGGGACCTTTCAGTCCGCAGGCCGACGCTCTATCCACTGAGCCAAACCGGTTTTGGCGAGATCTTTTTAAATGACTATGGGATGCAAGGGAAAGCATCTGTTTGCATACAACCCTGGCTTGTGGCTACAGAAAGCCAATTATAGATGCTTCTTTGAGTGATAGCAATTAAAGGAACAGCATCATTCCCAACATAGCTAATAATTTTTGCTTGCTTACCATCATGTGCCAAGCATTGTTTTAAAAACTTTCATGTATTGATTGATTTAATCTTCACAACACACCTATAGTAATTACCATTATTCTCCTGCATTTTTTAGATGAGAAAAGTGAGGCACAGAGAGATAAAATAACTTGCAGAATATCACAGGTAGTCAGAACCCAAGTAGTCTGATTTACTGTGACTATTACATCATCCCAAGATCTGTAGACTGATCAAGAAGAACCTATTCCAGATTATCAGACTACACAGGATTCTAACCAGAAGGAAATGACTTTAAAATTTATTTTTATTTTTTCCAGTTTTATTGACATATAGCCACATCCTTAAAAAAAAAATATTCCGTACTTTCTTGCAGCACTTTCTGACTCATAACACTCATATATGCCCTAAATATTTTTTGGACATAGGAATTCGCTATCTTGTACTTTTATATGCCCTTCAGAATGTTCTCTTTTCTATGCTAACAGAGATATTGTTCAGTCAGAAAATTTTTTACATGCAGGGTTTTATATGCTGTCAAGTTGTCCCCTTGGAAGTATAACATAGTGGCTAAAAGCACAGATTCTGGCTCTGGTCACAGAGTGGCTCAGTTGGTTGAGCATTGTCCCATGCACCAAAAAGTCACTGGTTGGATTCCTGGTCAAGGCACATACCCAGGTTGTGGGTTCAATCCCCACAACCGATAGATGTCACATCGATGATTTTTTCCTCTCTCTCCCTCTAAAAAATTAATAAAAATATATTCTTTATTTTAAAAAGTACAGATTCTGGAGTTAAATCACCTAGGTATAAATCACGGGTCTTTCATTTACTGTCTGGTGACCTTGGGGAAGTTACTTTACTTTTCAATACCTCATGTTCCTTATCTGTAAAATGGTTGTCATGAGGATTGAATTTTATATCTGTATCTACACCCCTCTCCTCATACACAGGCATCTTAGGACAGTTTCTGGGACATAGTAAGCCCTGTGTGATGTTAGCGAGTAGTGTTCCTTTATCAGTGTTATTAGCTTAAAAACCTACATGTAAATGAATACCTAGGATGAGGAATGTTGGCATGCTCAAATTTCTTTTGTGTGATGAATTAGGAGACAGCATAACATGAATCAGTAAAAAGCTGTGGAGCATTTTAACCATTATTTTTGACCTTTATTTAAGAGCTGCAAATAGCTGCAAAAATGACTAATGAGTTTTTCCTATTTTTCCTTTCAAATAGGTAGAGGTTAGCAGAGAGGCAGTGACACATACAGGTGGAGGGTGGGGGCGGCTGGTAGGCAACAAGAATATAGAGGGGGTGAGCCTCTCCCTTGCATAAATCATGGGTGGAATTATTTGCTCATCTGTCCCTGAAGCCCAACTTTTTTTTTTCTTTCCTAATGCCAGACCAGAATCGTTGATGGCAGAAGACTCCAAACCCAAGCCAGCATGGAGCCAGAGCTACTTGTTTCCTGAAGAGCAGTTGTCCTTCATGGGCTGGCGCTCCGAGAAGCAGCACCTCAGTCCCTTGGGCTTCAGTGAACTCAAGAAAACAGGGTCTGCTGCTACACTTGTCAAGCCCCTGGGTGCCACTGGTTCCATTTTCCCCCCATATTATTCTGCAACTATGGAGGAGGCTGGGGCCATTGGGGATACATCAGAAGTGGAGAGATGCTATTCCTTCTCAGGCAGAAGGCCTGCTCTACAGCAGGCAGTCTCAGAAGAGCTCATGAGAGATGTGGTGGGCCGTGACAAGTCCCTGGCAGGGGTGCTAACCCCAGCCTCCAACATGGTGACCACTGCTGAGGTCATGGGTGACCTCTTTGCTGTGGGAGATCTGCAGTGGAGGGGCCATCTCAAGCAGAAGTTGTACCACCAGGAAAGAAGAAATTATCGGAATGTACAGGAAAGCCACAGGGTGCCTTTGTAAGCAAGCAGACTAGATAGAGCTGGGGGTGGGCGATGTCTAGGTTGGGTAGGAGGGATTCCAACAGGCTTAGAAGACAAATAGCTAAGGTCTCAGATACATCCCTACCACCTATACCGTCCCATGGGGTTCATATACTGGGGACATGAACCAAGGGGAATCATTGATGATAAGCCCAGAACTTTAAGGGCCTGTCAGTTTTTCTGGATTTTGCTGAGTTGTCAATGACCAAACCAAATTATCTCTAAAGAAGTCCCTGTAGCTTCAGAAGTCAGGGACAAGGAAATAGCCTTTTGAGTTCTTAAAATTGGCCTTGACTTGAATTCTAGAGGGCCTTTATGTGGTCTGTTTATATTTGAATAGTGCCACCTGGTCTATTATTTTTCTTATTTTACAACTCCTTGGCAAAGCAGGATCCCACTGTATTACAAATATGGAAACTAAGAAGCAGAAAGGTCAGCAGTCTCTCAACAGAGGTGTTCAAATGGTCACCCTTTGTTCCCACAGGCAAGAATTTCAGCGCTTCTCTCCTCCTCAAGGGGCCCCAGGGATTTCTACCTCTTACTCAGCTTATTACAATATTTCTGTGGCCAAGGCAGAGCTGTTGAACAAGTTGAAAGACCAACCCGAAATGGCAGAGATTGGCCTAGGAGAGGAGGAAGTAGACCATGAACTGGCTCAAAAAAAGGTGAATTTTTTTTTATATACCTTAGAAATTTTAGCTTGAGTAAGTCTAGAGGGTGCCCTGCCCTCTAAGTTCTTTATACATCTTGGTACATTCCTATATTTTCAGTTTGAAAATCAAATAGCCTCTCTGGGTTTCTCACAAATGCAACTCCAGTCTCTGATCTGGTCAATAATAGTAATTATGGTAGTAGTAATCATAGTCATCACTGCAGTATCTAATCCTTAAAACAATTCTACAGGATAGACATTACTATCCCCTTTTTGCCAACTGAGAGGACTAAGTTGCCCAGGGTTATAGACTAGGTGGTAGATTCAGGACTGTCTTTCTATTGGGCTGTCCCTCTGAAATAAGCCAGCCTTGTTTGTTTTTCTTTTTGGTTAATCCTCACCTGAGGAAATTTTTTCCCATTGTTTTTTCAGAGAGAATGTAAGGGAGGAGGAGGAGAAGGAGGAGGAGGAGGAGTAGTGATTTTTAGACACATCTCTTCCCAGGCACCTGCTGGACTTGTTATTCCCAACCAGGGGAAAAGATGTCTTCTCCCTGGTCAGTAAGAAAAAAGACATCTTTCGTCAATCTTTCACTGCTAAAGAACAGCTTCTTAGTGTCCTTTCAAAATGTTATTTGAGACCCAAATGATCTTGTTGCCATCACATGAGTCACATCTAAGAGGGGCGTGGAGAAAGAGAGGAGAGAGACATATCAATTAGTTGCCTTCTATACACACCCCAACTAGGGCCAGGGAAGGAACATGTAACCCAGGTACATGCCCTTGACCTGGAATCAAACCTGTGACCCTTCGGTATTCGGGCTGACACTACCACTGAGCAACATCGACCAGGGCAAGCCAGCCTTGTTAAGTAACACACTGCCCAGGACACATCAGAGTTTTAGCCAGTGAACTCTAACCAATGGTAATCATTGATTGTATTACCTGTGTAACTTTCTGGGAGAGAGAACAGACTAACTAACAATGAAAAGGAGAAATTATAAGCTGGTAAACTTTAGTGTTTATTTGCAAAAAGAGGCAGTAATCTCTTTAAAATGTTAAAAATAGATAAATGGAAATGCTGTTGCTATTGCAAAGCCTCCCCTTTTTTCCTCTAAGTACCACTAGTCTGGTTGTCTAATCAAATTCCTGGAATCACTTTGCCCTCTCTGCACTTACCCATTTTATTTCATAAACAACTGGGTTTCCATGCCAACCTGAAAGGCCCAATTTACCACTTCGTGGACATCTGAACTCAATGTAAATTAGTCATCTGCCCATGTTTCTCATTCAGGATATGACCTGTAGGAAAGCTCAAGGCTATTTACAGAAGTCCCCCCCCACCACTTTCCAATCTGAAACAAAATGTCAGAGAAGGATTAGAAGCATGATGGTATCAAAGATTTCTTGATCAGATACCTGTTTCCTTGGATTCTATGTTTCCTGATCATGGCAGGCTTCTCCTGCCTTACTTAGGACCTTTTTATTAGGAGCAAACCTAATAATAGTCTGACCAGAAGAAGAGAGAAATGATCAGAAATGGTGAAGTATAGAAATAGTGATTTGAAGTGAATGTTGGGGGACTGGAACATTTTTTTGTCTCTGAGGAAAATGGTGAGAAATGATACTGATTTGTAATATCCCAGAAAAGCAGCTCAGCTCTAGCTAGGTCTGTGATGACTCCACAACTCTATCTACTACACTTTCCCCAGGGTTGAAGTTCAGGTTGCAAAGCCGAAATGCCAAGAAAGAAAGGGCTGTCTCCACTTTCATTCTGGCAGACCTATGGAACCTAAGAGCTGGGATGGGTAGTTGATTTTCCAGTTTGATCATTTGGCCCCCAGCCCTCCTTTATCTTTGGCATTGAGTTTTATTTTGAGGAAAAGAAGATAAGAAATACCTGGGAACCTCTTGGCATCTAATTGTGTTGCCTCATTTATATCATTGATCCCTCATTCCCAGTGGATTTTGGAATTTTTCCTAAATGTAAACCTATTATACTTCAGACTAAGATCACGGTGATCTCCTGAATATTGACCAGTTCTGAAATATGACAATAGTCTCTGAACCCATAGCAGGGTCTCTTGGTCTTGGTCACCTTGGATATCTCTAAATAAAGTACTAGAAAAGAACACAATCTAGAAAACTATTCCTGGGAAGGAATAATAAAACAAACATCAAAGCATACTTCTTATATACAAGATACTGTTCTAAGCACATAACATGTACAAACTCATTTAATTATCATAATAGCATTATGAGATAAGTATTACTGTTACCCTATTTTCAGATGGGAAAATTGAGGTGCAGAGTGATTGAGTTATTTGCTCAAAGTCACTCTACTACTTAGTGGCAGAACTGGGGTTCAAACTCAGATAGCAGTAGTAGTAATACCCAGGTAATCCTATATAATAAAAGCCTAATATGCTAAATGTCCAATCCACCAGTCAGCCATTCAACCAATCAAAGCATAATATGCTAATGATATGCTAAGGCCACTCAACTGCTTGCTATGACATGCACTGACCACCAGGGGGCAGATGCTCCTACCTGTAAGTTAGCTTGCTGCTGGGGTCCAGCTGATCAGTACTGAGCAAGACCGGCTGGACACACCCTTGGAGCCATCCCGCAGTCCCTCCCTGGCTGGCCAACCTCTGGCATCTCTCCCTAGCCCTGACTGTGCACCAATGGGGTCCCTGGGCCTGTGCCTCTTGCAATCCCAGACCTCTTGGGGGATGTTGGAGAGCCAGTTTTGGCCTGATTCCACAGGGGGAGCGCCACTCAGCCAGAAGCCAGGCTCACAACTGGTGAGCTCAGCGGCGGTGGTGGGAGCCTCTCCTGCCTCTGCGGCAGCGCTAAGGATGTCCGACTGCTGCCGTCATTCAGACATCCCCCAAGGGCTCCTGGACTTCGCAAGGGCACAGGCCAGACTTAGGGACCCCCCGCCCGTGTACAAATTTTGTGCACCGGGCCTCTAGTAATATAATAACAACAATAGCAGCAGCAGCAGCAGCATTAGTGAACATGTATTTAGTGCTTAATGTTCCTGGCAAATTACTAAGTATTTTACCTCTATGATATCACTTAACCCTCACAAGAATAGGAAGTAGGAAGAGGGGAGGCACTTCTCCAATTTACAGATGAGAAAACAGAAGTCTCAGTGGGACTGGATATCTCACTCAAGGTCACACAGTTTTGAGGAGGTAGAATTGGAACCCAGGCATCTCTGACTCCACAACTCCACTCTACCACACCACTTTCCTGTAAGTGCAGTCCCAGAACTGACTATAGGAGAGACAAATTAGAAGATACAGGCAGTGCTTCCCTCAAGAAACTTACAATCAATGGTAGGAGAGGAATCAGGTGTACACACAGGAAACAGAAAGTGAACAACTTCAAATTACACAATAGGCTTCTAATTCTAATAATAATGCTCCAATCTGGAGAGTTCAGAAAAGAAAAAGATTATTAAGAGAAGACTTATGGGGACAGGGGTTTTCAGCAGGGAGGATAGGGACAAAGCTGGGCTCTGAAGAAGGAATGGGACTGGCCAAAGTGAAGGAAGAGATAAAGAACAGGTAGAACTGCCTAAGCAGATCAGGAACATAAGAATTAGTGTTGTGAACACAGAGGAGGGTGAGGAGCTAATCCTGAAAGGTTCTGAAGAGTGGAATTAGAATGATAGAGTGGGGACAAACTGAATAATAAATAATAATAATAATAATAATAGCACCCAGCTTTTACTGAGCATTCAGTCTGTGCTAAACCCTTAGCATTCATTATCTCATTGAATCCTTATTACAATTCAATGAAGTAGGTACTGCAGTTGTCCCCATTCTTCAGATAAAGAAAATAAAACTTCATAAAGAAATTCACCTAAGGTCACACAGCTAGGAAGTGGCAGAATTATAAGGCAAACGTAGTTATTGCAACTCCAGAACTCAGACTCTTATTGAAAAGGCCTGAAAAGCTAAGCTGAGGGGGTAAAAATCTAGCACAATGCCATGAACATCAGAGGTACTTAAATGGATAGAAGGAAACTGAATAAAGAAATAGGCCAATACTTGATGACAATGCTTTTTTAACCCATGTTCTCATAAGCATTCCAATTTCTGTTTATTAAATAGTATTTATTTATTATTTAATTTATTGGGGTGACGTTAGTCAATAAAATTATATAGGTTTTCAGGTGTGTAATTCATCATCTCTATATTGTATGGTGTGTTCACCACCCAACGTCAAGTCTCCTTCTGTCACTATTTATCCCCCTTTACCTTCTTATACCTCCTCCAACCCCTTTCCCTCAAGTAATCATCATACTATTGTCTGTGTCTGAGATTGTTTTGCTTAATCCCAGAAGTGGGATTGCTGGTTCCAAAAGCAGTTCCATTTTTTATTTTCTGAGGTCACTCTATGCTGTTTTCCACAGTGGCTGCACCAGTCTGCATTTTCACCAACAGTGCATGAGGGTTTCCTTTTCTCTACATCCTCCCCAACACTTGTTTGTTGATTTATTGATGATTGCCAATCTGACAGGTGTGAGGTGGTATCTCATTTTGGTTTTAATTTGCATTTCTCTGATGATTGGCAATGTTGAGTATCTTTTCATATGTCTATTGGCCATTTGTATGTCCTCTTTGGAGAAGTGTCTGTTCAATTCCTTTGTGCATTTTTTAAATGATTGTCTGGTGTTTTTTAAAAATATATTTTTATCAATTTAAAAGAGGAAGGGAGAGGGAGAGAGATCCATGATGAGGAAGAATCATTGATTGGCTGCACTGTACACTGGGCATCGAGCCTGCAACCCGGGCATGTGCCCTGATTGGGAGTCAAACCATGACCTGTTTCATAGGTCACTCGCTACTCGACCACTAGGCTGGATTGTCTGTTTTTTTTTGTTTGTTTGTTTGTTTGTTTGTTTTTTTGGTGTTGAATTGTCTGAGTTCTTTATAAATTTTGGATATTAACCTCTTATCAGATGTATTGGCGAATATGTTCTTTCATTCAGTGGGTTGTCTTTGTTTTTTTGATGGTTTCCTTTGTTGTGCAAAACATTTTTAGTTTGATATAGTCCCATTTGTTTATTTTTTCTTTTTTTATCCATTGTCCAGAGAGATATATAAGAAAAAATATTGCTACAAGAAATGTGTGAGATTTTACTGCTCACACATTTTCTCTAGTATTTTTCTCTAGTATTTTTATGGTTTTGAGTGTTAAATTTTAGTCTTTAATCCATTTTGAATTTATTCTTGTGTATGGTATAAGAAGGTAGTCTAGTTTCATTTTTTTCAGCAAGTATTTATGAAGTTACATTTGGTATTAGCCCATGGGTATCACTTGTCTAATGCCAAGACATTTCATAGTGACAGATTCCTCCCATATTCTAAGAGATGGGAAAGAAGACTGTCCTGAAAACAGAAATTGCTCATGTGACTTGCTCAGGTTTCTTTTGTTTCCAGTGACTAGGGTAGAGCCCACCATCTGTTACTTGGATCCAAAAACATATGTTATAAGAATTTATCAGTTTCTGTTAGTCCCCATCCTCATCCTTTGCTTTCTTCTCTTTGTTTCTCCTAGATACAGCTTATTGAAAGCATTGGCAGAAAACTTTCTGTCCTACGGGAGGCCCAGCGAGGATTGCTGGAGGATATCAATGCCAATTCTGCCCTTGGGGAAGAGGTGGAGGCCAACCTAAAAGCTGTCTGCAAGTCCAATGAGTTTGAAAAATACCGTTTGTTTATTGGGGACCTGGATAAAGTGGTCAACCTGTTGCTGTCACTCTCTGGACGGCTGGCCCGGGTAGAAAATGCTCTCAATAGCATTGATTCAGAAGCTGACCAGGAGAAGGTAGAGTTGGAGTCTCTTGGGTGTAGATGGAGGGAAATACCATATGTGTCTTCTTGGGGCTTTCTCTTTCAAGTTTGGGTAGTCTAGGATGCAGTAGAGCATAGTGTTATGAGTGTGAGCACTGGCTTTTAAGTGTCTTGAAATTCTGGCTCTATCCCTAATTAGCTGTGTAACTGTAGGCAACTTACTTAACCTCACTCTGTCTCAATCTCTTAAAAATGGGGTGAACACACTCCCTACCACATAAGCTTTGAAAATTAAATTAGATAATTCATGTTAATGTCTTAAAACAGGGCCTGGAACAGGGTAAACACTGGATCAATGCTGTTAGTAGTAATAGTAGCAGCAGCAATTTCCCTTTCTCTCTCTCTCTCTCTCTCTCTCTCTCTCTCTCTCTCTCTCTCTCTCTCTCTCTCTCTCTCTCCCTCTCTCTCTCTCTTAGAGAGCAAGGTCTCACCAAGTAGTTGAGATTGGGAGGCTGTCAGTTCCATAGGGTGGGTCAATCTGCATATATTCATGAGCCCAAACTGCACTGCCTTTCCCTATGCAATTGGTGTTAGATAAAAATTTGATTTTACAATAAGAGGCACATAGGCATGTGCCTACACACATGGTGCAGATATACACCCATGCAGAGACAGATACCATTTTAAAAGCGTTCTCACAGTGATGGTTGTTCACCAGATTGAAGGGGCCTGAGCTAGCTTTGTCAGAGCCTTCCCTCACCCCTACCTCAGTGATGGTCCACTAATTAAAGACAGCTTAGAGGTGGAAAAGGGAATTGCATATCCCCCTGGCCAGAATCACTTTTGTGTATATTCTCCCCCTGCTATAGGAAAGAAAAGCTTTTGCATGAAGGTGGACTTCAGGGCAGGAAATCTATGATTGATTAGTTAGCAGAATGCATAGTTGCTTTGTGGCAGCATGCCGGTGGAGCAATGGGTTAGGCTGATGACTGGTAATTGAAATGACCCTTAATTGGTCTTCTATTTCTCCAGTTGGTGCTGATAGAGAAGAAGCAGCAGCTGACAGGGCAGTTGGCAGATGCCAAGGAGCTGAAGGAGCACATGGACCGGAGGGAGAAGTTGGTGTTTGGCATGGTCTCCCGCTACCTGCCTCAGGACCAGCTCCAAGATTATCAGCACTTTGTGAAGATGAAATCAGCTCTCATCATTGAACAGCGAGAGCTAGAAGAGAAGATCAAGCTTGGGGAAGAGCAGCTCAAATGTCTCAGGGAGAGCCTACTCCTGGGGCCTAGCAATTTCTAATTCTACCAGCAGACTGTCAACATCATCACTGCCCAGCCACAATGGGAAGTGCTTTCAATCTTTGTTAGCAGTTTGTTAGCAAATAGATAGCAGTTAGTTAGCAGTTTGTTCCATATCCTCTACCCTGGATGTCTCTCACTGCCCCTTACCAAGCAGTGCACCCACCCGGAGACTCTGGGGAGACCCCAAACTTCTACCCTAGGAAGTAGAAGCAAGAAGTAGAAACTGTAATAGAGTGTGATCATACAACCACACTCTTACCCACAGTTTGCACAGCAAGCACTTAGCACACACAGAACCAACAAAGTGCCTTCATTCTTCTTTGTACTCGGATATCAGAGACATCATGCACTCACCACCCACTCACACCATAATCAGCCTTTCAAGGCTCAGAGAGAAACTGCGATGCAGCTCCACTCTGCCCCAAGGCTCACGGCCCAGTCATTCCCCACAGAAATTTGACTGTCTTGAGGGCATTAACCTACTGGAATTTCAGGGCTTTACTCAAGCTTTGCAGTGGGAAGCAAAGAAGGATGAATTTTACTTAACAGAATGTGAGCAAAAGATTTGGGATCCCCAGATGCCCTGCTGGGTAGAGCTAGGCTTAATGAAATTGGTCCCATCCCCACCTTCCCCAGCATCTGCATAAAGGGGAAGAGGCCCACTGTCAGCCCTGGCTAGTGTGGCTCTCCTCCTGTCCTAAGACTTTGGACCTACCACTTCCTGTTTCATCTTGCCTTTGTATTGCTGGGGTTACAGGTGGCTACCTTAAGGGCTTCACACTATGGGCCATGAATAGCTCTGCTAAAGCTGACTTCTGCATACATGTTTCATTACTGGGGGGGAAGGGGTTCTTATTGTTATATTTTAAATGTCCTTTTGACTTTATTTATTTTTATTGTTTTTTCTTCCTTTTTTTTAACTAATAAGGTGAGAAGAGGGGAGTTAGGGAAAAGTTAGTCCAGAAGGAAAGCATTTTCTGTAGATCAGCCTGAATTCACCATGGCTAGGTAACCAGGTGTCAAGGCTTTGAATTATTACCACCATAGCTGACAAGTGTCTAAGAAAGTTCTCACCTTGAATTCAGAGTTTCCCCACTATGACCTGGTCCTATACTTCCATTGAAGTATGGATAACCATGAGCTTAGCATTCACCAACAGGGTCCAATTTTTTCTTACTTATTTTTCCTTGAAACCAAAGAAATCTGAAACTGACCAAGGTCCACCTATTTCTCCAAGTCTTCAAGCTAAGGAAAGGGGAGAGATAAGCTCAGGAGTAACTCCTCTACTGAATTGCTTTCTCAGCTTGTGGCCTGGCTCAGGGAACCAAAATCTGTGGTAGCAGAAAGCTCCAGTCAGGGCCAGCCCCCAGTACAAATCATGAACCAGCCAGGATCTGAGGCAGACAAACAACTGATGCTGCTGCTGTTGCCTAGTTCCTGGCACTGGTAGCCAGTTTCTGTCCTGGGAAAGCCTTCAGGCGAAGGCAGGAAGGTAGCTGTGGCCAAATTGTCCTGTTATACAGCTTAGTTCCCTATTCCTTACTAACTGGCCCATGCTTTGTATTGCCCAGCCCTGCCCAGCATCCCTGACATCTGTTCTAGTCATTTCTGAATTCCTCACCATCTTTGGAGGTTAACTGTAGCAGCAGGGGTGCCTCAATTGACCAAAAGAATTTGCCAAGGAATTTTGCTGCTGCTACAAATACTGGTTCCTAACTTCCGTTTCCTCCTCATTGTATTTGGAAACAATGGAAGAATCTTGGCCAGCAGAGTGTCCTGATGGGGGGAGGGGGATGAGTATGCTCTTAGTATACTGCTGCTGTCAGAACTACTGTTAAAATGTCAACCTGCCATTCACCCCATAAGTGGAGAAATCTACTTTATTCAGGAAGGCTGATGGCTTGTGAAGGGCTAGGCTTACCCAAGCCAAGGTTGAGGAAGGTGGAGGAGTGCTTTTAATATAGGCTGTGGCTGCCATGTTTTTAAAAACACAGGCTCTAAAATAAACAATGAGCAAGATTGAGATGAGGCCAATGTAGTCCATCATTATAAGAGGGAAGGAGGGAGGGAGGGAGGGAGGGAGGGAGGGAGAGAAAGAAGGAGGGAGGGAGAGAGGAAG